CCACCCTGCAGATATTTATAAGCATTTATTAGGTCCCCACCGAGCTGGAGGGATGCTGTCGGGTGGATCCTGTTGCTGCCAAGTAATTTATATCAATTTCTACTAAATCTCACAAGTTCAGCAAACAGTTTTGGTGAGCTGCTTCGCCATAGGCGTGACAAAGAGCTGCCATACCCGGGTGCTTGTTCGGGTACCAGCCTGCCCACGGCAAATGCCGATGCCAGAGCTCTGGGAGGATTCTCACATCCTCAGCTGGCCGAGGCGTTGCGAAGCTCTGGTTGTGAGTGTCTCTCTGCTCTTGCCGGAGATGCCAGCGTGAAATATCTCTGGATTAAGCAGAGGGCTGGTGCGGGAAGGAGGGAGAGGAGATGGGGAAGAGGAGATGGGAGGAGAGGTCGCAGCACGCCTATCCCTGCTTTTGAGCAGAACAAGACAGAACCTGGGATGGGCAACTCCGGGGGGGACTTAAAGGACTTTTACTCCCCGCAAGGCAGTGATTGCCCCAAGCCACCCTGTTCTGGCCCTTTGCCCGGCGTTTGGGCACTGCTCCCTGGTCGGGGGCGGTGGTTTCCCCCCCGGGTTTGCCGTGCCCCGCTGGTGTGGCTCTGCTTCCCGAGAGGCAGCGGCGTCACCGGGGCGGCTGGAGCAGAGGGTGCGAGAGCTGCTCAATAAACATGCCAGGGAGAGCGCGGTCTGTTCCGAGAAGCCCCTGGGTGTTTGCTCGCTGGAGACGCAGTGGTGTTGCAGAGTAAATGTCAGTCCCTCGAGAAGAGGGAACAGTGGGTCCTGCAGCTATCAGGTATCCCGTCACCCAATAGCCAGCAACATCTGGGTGTGTTTTTCTACTCCAGATCGTGTTTAAATATGTCAATATTTGTCGGGGATGAGCAGAGCAGCCGGCACCCCAGCCCAGCACAGGCTCTGCTGCCTGTTAAGGATGATGCTCTACCACTGCAGCTTGGCCAGTGCAGCACCTTGCACCTGAGCCCTGCCCATTGCTTGCTGCCCTGCTGCCTCTCTAGCTCTGTGAGTAAAAGCATGGTGGTAAATTAATGGTTTTTATGTTGCAGCCAAGCATGGACATGCCTGGATGACCCAGACGGTGCGGTGCCCCTGAGGCTTGGTTTGTCCCTGCTCATCTCTGGGCATTAAATGAGGCAGAAGCATCGTGGAGCAGGCAGCGCGTGACTGTGACACGCTGGGCTGGGCAAACACACGCCACTGGCAGAATTACAGAGCACAAACAGCTCTCAAATGTCAGCCTGGCATTTTTCTAGCTTTCGAACACCTGCATTTGCGACCCAAAGTCGCATCTCATAAAGCAGCGTTACACTCTGTAATTTCCAAGTTCCTTTTCTTTTCTGAAATAGAAAAAACCCCGCAATTCTCTTCAGGGTGGTGCCTCGTCTTCCCGCCCGACCGTGAGCATCACCAGCAAGCGAAGCAACATCCCTTGCAGGCGCGTCTCCTCCCGGGGTCCTGCAGAGCCTCAGCCCGGGGTGGGTGCGTGGAGAGGACCTTCCCCGGCTGGCGGGTGAGCTGCGACC